TTTCGGTTCTAACTAGGATGTTAGATACTAAAATCGATGATAATTTTCTAAATAATGTTTTGCAGTGAATCATTAATCAGCTTATTAACATTTTCCGAATCAATTTTTAATTAGAAACCAATGCAAACTCATTCTATTGATTGTGATTTTTCTTCGTACCATTCTATTTCGAATAAGGTTAAATTATTCTGAAAATGTTCTGTTTACAGACTATTGTTTATCAAAACTTTACGTTTGATTATTCAATATTAAACTTGTTATTTAGATAAGCAATGTTTGTAACATTGAAGAACAACATCAAACGTTGATTTACTCTATTTTTCTCGAATATTGTTCGTCAACATTAATGTAGCCGAGTAACCTGGTATTCAAAATAGTTTTTGTGAGTTTATTACTAATTTGTCACATGTGCATTATTCAGAAGGAAAGTATTATTTTGAAATGAATCAAATTTTTCCTAATATAGTAGTGTATCATACAAACTGAAATAATGCATTTTTTGGTAACTATGTGTAGCAAAAGAATAATGAAAGAAGGATTCGTATTCTCCTTAATAGTCTCATATCCTTTCTCCTATGAGAAAAAGAAACAGAATGGTTTTTATACCTCACATTTTTGCTTCTTCTTTGCTCGTAACACTTACGATAAGAATATATTGGGTCTAATAACATATCAACAACAAGGTAAATCAGCTATCGCTCTTTCTTCGTTGTAACACAGATATTCATACGTGATAGTCAATAATAACAAAACTATGGATACAAAGTCAGGTATAGTTTTAGGCATGACTGGATCATATAATTCTAATTCAGTACCACAATTAAATGTTATTCAATCTTCAATTTCATTTATTCAAAAAGCAATCGATGTATTAGATATAGTTCCTTCGTTTTTTCCAATAATGATTGCTGATTTTGGTTCATCACATGGTGCTAATTCAAACTATGCAATGAAAATAATTATCAATTATATAAAACAAATAAAACAAACTAATCAATCCTTTTTAATTATTCATAATGATTTACCAACAAATGATTGGATATCACTATTTGATAGTTTAAATGAAGATAAAACTTATTTCGGTTTAGCTAATGGTCGTTCTTTTTATGAGCAATGTCTTCCAACAAATTCATTAACTATTGCTTATTCATCAATGTCTATTCATTGGCTTTCTCATAAACCATGTAATCTATCAAATCATTGTTTACCTCGTTTCGCTCAAGGAGCAGAACTGATTACATTTAAAACTCAAGCTGCAAATGATTATGCACAATTTTTAGAAAACCGTTCTCGTGAATTGATGAGGGGTGGCGTTCTCATTCTTTCTATTCTTTCTGCAGATAAAGAAGGTAAAACTCTGGCACACAACGTAAATAATCATCTATATAAATGTGCTCAATTAATTCCATTAAATGAACAAGAATTACTTGATTATACAATTCCACTGTATCATCGTACGTACGAAGAATGTCTTAATGAAGAACTTTTTAAACGATGTTCATTACAGCTCATTGAATCTGATTTTCATATTGTTGAATCAAAATTCGATCAAGAATTTCAACAAGGAAAAATAACACTAGAAGAATTTCTACAGATGCACATTGGCTATCAACGTTCTTGGGGCGAATCAATATTAAGACAAGCACTAGAAATGAATGAAAAATGTTCAAAAGAAGAAATTGATCAAGTTTTAGATCGATTCTGGTCAATATACAAGGATGGAATGAAAGAAAATTCAAAAGAATATAAGACTGGATATTACCAAACATATTTGGTATTGAAAAAACTTTAATAAAACTTAACAAGATTTTTAAATTGAATAAAAGACAATAAAATTCCAACTGATCTCATAGTTGCTAAATGTGTTATGACTTGGCAGAATTTTTAATCTCGAAATTAAATATCACTCTGTTATGTGTAAAGCATTTCCAAAATATTGTAGTATACTATTTTATTTTTCATGAAAAAACGTTATGCAATTTCTTTTCTCAGAATCAAAAATATTGCGGCTGATAGTCTTTTAAAACGGAGAACGAAGGTGACACATACTATTATTTTGATGAAGAATTGAATAATCAAATCGACTAAGGTGTTTGAGTAGATGCTATTCATCAGAAGATGTAATGTCCGATTTAATTATTAAATCTCTCCATTGAAATAACGATATGTAATATTCATATTTTCTGTTTTAGAAAAAGCTCTTTGCTACGTACGGTAATAGGCAAAAGTTTTCATTCACTTAGAGTTTGTTAGAAAGTCTGGAATTTTTCACAAGACTATAATATTATAAGCAGTGTTAGCTATCTTCTAATCAAAAGAATCACTGCTCATTCCGTTTATGTTGCCTTCAATCACTAATTCTAACGTATGGTTTTCATAATACCAACAATAGCACACAATTCATTTTTTTATCTCATGATTGATTTAGTCTAAAGATCTATGACATGACGGTGGTAAGAAAAGTTAATTCAAGCATGCGAATGTTAAAACATTGGCGTTAATAATGGCAACAGTCAAAAATAAGAACAATTTCAAATGACAAAATTTTCGTCGCCATTTAAGATTGGTGCATATCGGCTGTGTCAATATATGCTACACCATCGTATCACGCTGTGTCAGAATTCTATAAACATTGGAAATAAAATATTTCTTTACTGTAGCACTTCGGTGATTTTTATTTCAACACATGTGTTGAGTTATAACATTTAAAAATCTATCGGAGTAATTACATAAAATACTTGTCTTTAAATATTTTATTGATTTATTTTCTAAATAAAAAAAAA